AATAGACACCCATCTCGCTTGGACTCAGCATCCACAATATTGAGAAACTGGGCATTGGACAGGAAATCAAAGTAAACATCTATCTTCCAGCAGGACTCCTGTTTTCACATCCCAGGTAAGAGAAGAAGGGTGATATTTTTATATTAACTGATTCATTTTTCTTTCTAAATTTATATATGCACTCTCTTGGTTCTGATTTAATTCGATAGGGCACTCAACAATATTTTAATTATAAAATTTTAAATGATGACCTTTTTGTAGAAAGGGCTGTATCAGATAGGATCTACACAAGGATAAAATACCAAACATATGGCTGAGAACTTAATAAATGCTCTGAAAATAGTTATGGTTGACAGTTAGAAAGACTAAGAAACCCTGCCCTCTGGGAACCCAAAAACAGAAACAGGTAGAAACACTAGCACAAACATAGACTCAGGAAAAGAACACCGTAAGTAACTGCTGACAAAAAAGAGAAAGTAATTATCAATGAAATAAATGTCTTCAGAAGGCAGGATGATAGCGTGGAAATCATGTTCTTCTGAAAGAGGAAAGACCTCTGTTCTATTGTCAACACATTTACTCGGTTCGTTTCTAGTCTTGGAAACTTCATGGCACTCTCTGAAGCTCAATTTCCATATCTGTCCAATGAAACTGCTAAGCTAGATCTTTAAGACCATATATAGCTGTAACTATGCCTCTGGCTTTCTGGAAATCTCTTGAGTAAGAGACGAACTACTGCAACATACCTTTCCCAGTCCTGAGAAGTGAAATTATTTTTATTTTATTAAATCCATCCTGAAACCAAAGCTACAGGAGGCAGTGTGAAAGGTATGTTCTCAAAACTGGCCACGCTCTCTGCCCCTTTTCAATTCCAAGTTAAACTTACATAAATAATATCTGTAAAACTACTCAACCATCACAAAAGCATTATCTCATCCACTTTAAAGAAATCTTGGAAGTTAGGTTAGCTGAAATTAGAATGAACCCTATTGCAAAGATGAGAAAGTTGATTCAAACACGTCAAAGTCCTGTAGCTAATACATAGCAAAGTTGAAAACTGAGCCCATGACAAAATTATAGCAAAGTCTTTTCCTTTAAATGGCTTTATTTGGAAGGAGAGTGTCTGAATACCGCTCTCCCTTTCTCACCACACAACACACACACACACACACACACACACACACACACGGATTATACTATAGTCTTGTGTTGGTTCCACCAGCTGTGTGAACTTAAAGGGAGTCCCAAACTCTTATTCTCAAATCTCTTATCTTTATAATGGAGACATTAAAAGTAATAACTACTTCATAAGGGTGTTGTGAGGGCTAAATGAGTGAATGTATATAACAGTATTTTCACCAAATATAGAACATAGGGAGAGCATGTTTAAATAAACACCAATGTGCCTTACATTTCTACAAGATAATTCTAAATTGTGGTTAATAAACTGGTATCAAAATTGTGTTCTATTTTTCCTTCCTGGAAACACCAAAAGCAATAATGATAGACTGATACAGTGGAATAATGCTCCCCAAAAACCTTGAGTTTATTTTTCTTTGTTTTTGTCTACCCATTTGCTGCTTGTTTCTTTTGTCTACTTGCTTGCTTTTTGAGTTTGTGACCTCAACATGAAGTTTATTGTAAGGAAACAGAAGAGAAAAGGGAGAATAATTAGTGTCTCTTGTTTCATGAGCCTTTGTAAACTTAACATTTTTTGCTTTATAAATGGGATGTTTCTGCGTGTCTGCATAAAAAAGTAAAACAGTAGGATTTTTTTAAGTCCTGAAAGGCCAATCAACATTAAAGAAAAGCTTTATTAGTCAAATCAAAATATCCAGAATAAATAATGTCATTTAGACTCAGCCAGTATTTTTACTACAATTCTTACAGATGAAATTCAAGTACTACTTGTTCTTCAAAGCTTTTCCTAAGTTTTCCTTCAAGATTTTCAGGATATCTTATTTATACTTATTTTATAATGTTTGTAGGCTGTTTTGTAATATGGGCAGGTGTTTGATTCTTCTATGAGAAAGGGGCAATGATTTTATTCATATTTATATGTATAAAATAGAAATCCTGAAATAATATGAGAATTGTTGGACAATCTGCACCAGTCTTTAGCAACTCAATAAATTGTAGAGATTGATGCCTAAATATTTATGGCCTCCCTCCAAGAGCAAAACAGTTCTCCATCAAAAGCCAAGTGACTTTCAGTCAGGTTTGGAGAGCCTCAAGGGAAGAATAATTTCTCTTAAGTCTTCTCTTCCTGAGAAAGTACAGAAAAAATCCGATTCAATAACTTGCCAAGAGTTAAATGCTTATTACCTCACTGATGAAAATACTGCTGACACCAATACCTATAAAACAACAATAAGTAATACAAGTACTTATTAAGCACTCCTTATTTGTGGAACAAATCTCTTTCATATATATTACCTGAATTAATTCTCATGATAGCCCAGGAGGCAGGAATCATTCTTACCATACAAATGAGAAAATAGGCCTTAGGGAGTTGTTTAAGGTTTTACCACTAGAACTTTCCAGAGTCAGGATTAGAGCCCACATCTGTGTAAATTTAAAGCCTTTTTTATTCCTGCATTACTCAACTTTACATGTGCTTGTGAGAGTAAAATTTGAAATTATATATGTAGAAATTTATTAATAGTACTAAAAACTAGAGAATATAGAATTTGAAAGTTAATTGTATATTAGTAATAAATATGCCAACCACCTAGGCAATAAAAAAAAGACCTTGTGCTAGACATCGGGCAAAGAACCAGAGGAATAAAATAGAGGAAGAGGAAGGTATTTGTCGCTTCCATGGGGTTGGGAGAGAGTGTGATATAAAGTAGAATATGCAAGCAGAAAACATCCTTGCACTCTTCTAGAAGCAAAGAGAAGCAAATGTAGTTACTTGTCCTATTTATATATTTAGATTAAAAGTTTTAGAAACTAAATAGTGCCCATGTTTTGATATATTGCCAAGTACACTTTAGTTCAGCCTCTTCGTAAGAAATGCAGAAATAAGTAATAAATACATATTATTTTTCAAGGATGTATACAATATTTGTCTCCTGAGTGCTCCTATAATTTCAAACACATATCTATCATCTCGATCACCACATTTTTAAATAACGTCTTCCTCTAAATGTGTCTCACCCTTGAAACATAAAGAACTTGAGGCTTGGGACTGGGTCTTATTTAAATATGTATCTTCATTGCAGACCTAGTGGCTGACACATTGTTATAATCACACACTTAATATTTGTGTATCATCTGATATTCTTGATTCGGTGGTTCTCAGATAACATAAAGATGCATTGTTATTAATTTTATTATTAATATTAGTTAAGGTAATTTTAATAATATATTTTAAATGGGATAATTGTAAGATTATCTTTATGATTTTTCTCTCGCTTGTTTCTAGTATGCTCTAAAGAGCAGCAAATGTACTAGGAATTGGGAATCATCCTAAGTACAAAGAATTCTGATGATCAGGTGCTCTCTTCACTGACAGTTTTCCATTGTAAACTGAGATTTCTCTTTCAGGTTTCAATGGGCCAGACTTAGTTTTATGTGGTACAGACATTGTTGTTAGTATTCTCAATACTGAGCAATCCTTATGCCTAGAATGAGGTAACACTGAGAATTCTCTTACTCTGTGATTCTAAGAAGTCTGTGTTGACCATGAATAAAATAGATAATGTGGCAAGTTAATTCACTTATTTACATAACAATTATTTATTGAGAAGGTATTAAGTACTTAATATGGTTCTAGATGCTGAGGAGAACTCAGGCAAAGATACATACAATTCATATCTTTTCCTCAGAGGTACAAAATCTAGTGGATAAAATAGATAAAAGAATAATTCATTACAATATTTCAAAATTAGATAAACACCACATAAATTTGGCCATCAATGTCTTATGTGAGTTCTGAGGAAGAAACAACTCCTTTCACTAGGAGGTAGCAAGTAAGCTTTCAAAAAGGTAGATTTAATGGAGGCTTCAGAAGAACAATAAAATATCTGTAAATAAAAGTGAGTAACAAGCTAATATGAGCAAGGAATAGAGGCAAGGAAGTACAGAACATAGCTGGGCAATAGTGAAGAGTGAAGCAATATAATACAATTTATATTTTGAAAGCCTCATCTGTCATCAGGGGAAAGACGGGTTGCAGAGATGTAAGAGTGGTCATGGGAAAGTAGCCATAGTAAGACTTCAGAAGGAGTTAAGGGAAGTGATGAAAATGGACAGAATCCTGAAGAAAGACTGTGGTCCTTGCTGCCAGAGGAAAGACTCTGATATAGGTATTGGAGAAGGTATAGACATATTCCATCTTGAAATTAATGAATAGACAGAAGAAGAGAAATTTTTTCCACTTTGGAAGCAGAATAAAGCTACAGAATCAAGAGCCAGCATAATGAAAGAACTGACAATTCCTACCAGGAGGTAAGGAAAAAAGCATTGAACAGAATTTGAGTCTAAGTTATGGAGAGATTAAAACTAAGATTGGGAGTTTAGATGTAAGGAGAATGACAGTTAAGAACCATTGAGGATTAGTGAGTTATAGATAAGTATGGTATATTCAGATGGTTTACTTTGCAACTGCAGGAGATTTTTTTTTTTTTTGAGAGAGAATATGGAAACAAGAAAGCAAAAAGAACAAGCACTGTAAGATAAACTAAGAGTGTGAGGCTAAGAATCTGAGTAACAGCCTCACCATGGGAGAAGGGTTGTTTGAATCTGAAAAGCAACAAGAACTTTTTGGCTATGGTTTTAGAAATAGTATGGAGTCTCAGAGTTTGATGAATGCTTGCCTGATTTTAGCAACACCATGTCTTGGAAATACAGGAGGGAGGAGAAAAGATGAGTTCATAACTCAAAGTCTAAGAACACATGCTAATGATCAATTTTTTGTGAATCTACTAATTTTCAGGGATTTCCTTTGGTGCTAACTCCTCTTCTGTCCCGAATTATCTCTTGATGACGTACGCTCCATGGAGCGGGTCAACGAGACTGTGGTGAGAGAGTTCGTCTTCCTCGGCTTCTCATCCCTGGCCAGGCTGCAGCAGTTGCTCTTTGTTATCTTCCTGCTTCTCTACATGTTCACTCTGGGCACCAATGCGATCATCCTTTCCACCATTGTGCTGTACAGAGCCCTTCACACCCCCATGTTCTTCTTCCTCGCCATCCTCTCCTGCTCTGAGACTTGCTACACCTTCGTCATTGTACCAAAGATGCTGGTTGACCTGCTGGCCCAGAAGAAGACCATTTCTTTTGTGGGCTGTGCCATCCAAATGTTTTCCTTCCTCTTCCTTGGCTGTTCTCACTCCTTCCTGCTGGCAGTCATGGGTTATGATCGTTATGTGGCCATTTGTAACCCACTGCGCTACTCAGTGCTCATGGGACATGGGGTGTGTATGGGACTAGTGGCGGCTGCCTGTGCCTGTGGCTTCACTGTTGCACAGATCATCACATCCTTGGTATTTCACCTGCCCTTTCATTCCTCCAATCAACTACATCACTTCTTCTGTGACATCTCTCCTGTCCTTAAACTGGCATCTTACCATAACCACTTTAGTCAGATTGTCATCTTCATGCTTTGTACACTGGTCCTGGCTATCCCCTTATTGTTGATCTTGGTATCCTACATTTACATCATCTCTGCCATACTTCAGTTTCCTTCCACACTGGGTAGGTGCAAAGCTTTTTCCACCTGTGCATCTCACCTCATTATTGTCACTGTCCACTATGGCTGTGCCTCCTTTATCTACTTAAGGCCTCAGTCCAACTACTTTTCAAGCCAGGATGCTCTAATATCAGTATCCTACACTATTGTAACCCCATTGTTCAACCCAATAATTTATAGCTTGAGAAATAAAGAGTTCAGATCAGCCCTTTGTAGAATTGTGAGAAGAACAAGTTCCCTGTCGTAAGATTCATCTTGATTCTGACCAGGCGCAGTGTCTCGTACCTGTAATCCCAGCATTTTGGGAACTGAGGTGAGCAGATCACCTGAGGTCAGGAGTTCAATACCAGCATGGCCAACACGGTGAAATCCCATCTCTGCTCAAAATACACAAATTGGTCAGTGCTGTGATGCGCTCCTGTAGTCCCGGCTGAGGAAGGAGAATTGCTGGAACCTGGGAGGCAGGAAGGTTGCAGTGAGATTGTACCACTGCACTCCAGCCTGGGCAACAGAGCAAGGCTCCATCTAAAAGAAAAAAAATCTTGTTTCTGCTCCTTCCAAACAGTAAAACACAAGTTATACAGGGAAAAACTCCCAGAACATAAGTGATCAAGCAGTTGAGCATCATGTACAGGAACAGAAATCATTTCCCTTCATCTCCAAATAAAATTTAGAAAAACACAACTGCTTGCCACATTCACATGAATTGCTGCCTATTGAAGTTTTGTTTTTTTTTTTCAATTGAGTGAAAAATAACATGGCTATTATAAGAAAGCATATGTATGTTCAGAATTTTAGGCTCTTGTAAATACTGTCACTCAATCTCAGCCAGGCTGAAAACTAACCCTGCAAAATGTGGCACAAGCCTAACTCTGTTGTAGGAATTCAGAAAGCTTCTACCTTTAGGATTTTTCCAGATGTTTTCTGAATCTCAGTCTTCCAATATAGTCAGATCACAATCGTTAAATGAGATACTTGTAAAGTGCTATTAACAATGTTTGGTGCATAAGATACACCCAAATGTTCAAGTTAGAAAATTATGAAAAGTTATCCATTTCCATGCTTTGGGCATATTAATGAAATAGGATTATTTCTCATTTTTAATGCAGTGGCACACATCTAAATTTGGTGAGCACACCTTGAAGATATTCACAGGGGAATGGGTTAAAGAGAGGACCTAAAAATCACCCAGAGTGACCAGGAAAGGCAAGTTAAAGCATAAGTCAATTTCACTAATTATTCACCAAGTGGAAACCTTTGCATACAGAGCAATCAGTCTGTTCTCCATGCAGCTCAAGAGTTTGCATGTATGTTTGAGACCAGAACTTGAATCTGATGTTTTCATTCTCTCTCCTTTCTGCAGGAGAGAGAGCCAACAGGAAATTCCACAATGATGATGGTTTATCACATTGTATCTCTTTTCAAGATCCATTTGTCAATAAAACTCTCTCGATGGATTTATTTTGCTTCTAAGTTTTTTTCCTTTCTTCTACCAGTCTCTTCATCGGTAACATATACGTTCTAGGGGCTCATGTCCTGTTTCTAGGGGTTGAAGCGGGAGGAAAGGAAGGGGAATGCTTTGTTCACAGGCCCTCTTTCTTATAGGACATTTGCCAAGAATGTAAATCAACTGCATTTCTTCCATTTCTTTGAAGCTTGAAACTTGCTGATGATGGGACTTGAAAATCACAGACTGATGCAAAATTAATGTCAGTGGCCACCAGGCTGTCTTTTCCTTGGTCATATTGCTCACGCCGGGCCTCCAGCCTGTCAAGTTGATTCATGAAAAGTAAATGAGCTGAGTTTGATGTGTTAATTATTTATATCTGCACTGTGTGCTACTGTTTAAAAATGTTACTTCATCTAAACCTTAGAGCATATAAGGAAAGTATATATTATGATTTGCATTTTGTAGATGAGAGAAATGACAGACAGACAAATAAAATGACTTGCGTACTAATGATTAAAAGAATTAATGCTGAGTCCACATGATCTACTTTCTTTATTAATGCTTTCATAGTGCTTCTACATGGCCCTTGAAAAGACTGTGACTTTTTTAATTAATAGGGTAGAATGTGTAAGTATTCACCTTGAACAACAGAAGACTAAACCATGTGTCATCTGTGGGAAAATACCCTCTTGATGTTAAATAGTCTTTTAAATCTTGTTCCTTTCCAAAAGCTATGAATCCTATTATTTTGGGGTCTGACGCCACAACACTGACAAGTGGGCAGGATCATTGTGTTAAGAGGTCATGAACACAAAAAATGACTCTACTGTCATTTTATCCTTCCTCTTATTTTTTCCATGTGAATGACGATTTAAGTTGACGTTGGTCCTGAACTCCCACATGTTAAAACTAAACATCTTGCTCTCTCTGTTCCTCTTTCCACACATGTGCATACACACATATTGCTATTGTCCAGTCATATGTAATTTGCAAATACTGTCACCAACTGGGAAACCTGGTGGGTTTCTTGATCACAGGGTTTACACTGCCTGGTGTTGTTTGTGGCCATGTTGTTCTTGGACACACTTTACTTGGCACTGACTCCTCCTCCCTCGTGGTTCTGCAGATAGAGAGGGCTTGATCTTCTGTCTCCCATTTTATAGTTTCTGAAGCTAAATCTTCAGTGAATGAATGTCGATACCCAAAGGACATTGTCTGGCCTCATTTATTTGGTTTTTATATTAAGCATAACACAGATGTTAAAGTCATATTCTTACTCATCCATTTCACTTCATTCTGCATAACAAAATGATGCCTTTGCCTCTGACTTGGCTGTTCCTTTGTTTTGATGTCTGTGTCAGGATTTCATGCATTTCTATTTACTTGTTTGGACCTTGGCCCAGATTGTTAAACCCTTCTCTGTCCCTGTTTCATGCTGACCTTGGGTTAATTCTACAAGAGGAAGTCTTGTAGGTCCTGATGTGAGGGCTTTCTAGATCAAGAATTCCATTGCTCCCATTAACACTGTGATGGGGAACCCCGGACTTCTATCCTGATTTTCACACGTACCATTTATTACCTCACAATTGACATAATATCCTTCTTTTATTTTCTGATCATGAAGATTGAATAAGACAACTTGTGTAAAGTTTTAAGTAATTTCCTTATGTATATTAGGTCAACAAGCAATGGCCGATGTTATTCACAAGGCCTCCCCAACCCTAGAGTGTCCAAGGGGGGCTTGCTAGTAAGAACAAAATAGAGATAGCTAAAGTGGAAGAGCGAGTAAAAAAGGACAGAGAAATGGTGAAAGTAATGAACCCTCCCAAATCACCTTTGTAAAGTAAGTCCTCACTTACTGTAATGATAAGATTATAATAAATATTATAATAAATCTGAGCTATCCATATGTTTGCAAAGATTAATAAATGATGATAATTATTTACCCAATTTTGGATGGATCAAGTAATGGTGATCATAGTAGTGGAGGTTACATTAAGGGATAAATGCTTGCAAAGAAAACATTGTAAGGACACCTCCTACCACCAGGTAGTTCAAAACAATCACAAATACGGCAGGCTCACTGAACACTTTCATATCACATTGTTTATTGTCATGCATTTGTATCATTATTGCATACTTTACAAATTTTTGTCTTGAAATAATTTGTATTCATTCATTCATTTTCCAACCCATTTATTTCAGTTCAGGATTCTGGATGGCTGAAGCACAAGGCAGGAGCCAAGCCTGACCAGAACACCATTCCATCACAGGGTTCACTCACACACACAGCACACTTACTCAGACTGAGACGATTTAGATATGCCATATTTATTTGTGTGTGTATGTTGTATGTGCTTATGAAATTTTTATTTCTCTTAACAATTCTCATTAAGTTTTTAAATCAAGATTTTGCTGGCCTCCTAAAATGACTTGGGGATTTTTCTTTTATATTCTCTGAAGAATCGGTGAATCATTGAAATTTTATTATCTTTGCTGAAACCAATGGGGACTGGATATTGCTTTATTGAAAGGTTTACAAATAATTCAGTTGTTAAATGTTTGTATAAGTCCCCAGTTTCTTCCAGAATGAATCATATTATGGTTTATTTTATTAACAATTCATTTATTTTTATCCAAATTATACATAGCTATATATAATGTTCTTTACAGTATGTCCTTATTAACTTGTTATTCTCTGCAGCATCGGTGGTTATATCTCTTTGATCATTTCTTATAATGTATATTGGGCTTTTCTTTCACTATCAGTCTCACTAGAGATTTGTCAATTTTATCAGTTTTTTTAAAAGAACAAACTTTTGGGCCGGGCGCGGTGGCTCAAGCCTGTAATCCCAGCACTTTGGGAGGCCGAGGCGGGTGGATCACGAGGTCGAGAGATCGAGACCATTCTGGTCAACATGGTGAAACCCCGTCTCTACTAAAAATACAAAAAATTAGCTGGGCATGGTGGCACGTGCCTGTAATCCCAGCTACTCAGGAGGCTGAGGCAGGAGAATTGCCTGAACCCAGGAGGCGGAGGTTGCGGTGAGCCGAGATCGCGCCATTGCACTCCAGCCTGGGTAACAAGCGCGAAACTCCGTCTCAAAAAAAAAAAAAAAAAGAACAAACTTTTGGTTTTGTTGGTATCTGTATGGTAAGTTTGTTTCCTAGTTTAACTATTTCAAGTCCTATCTTTACTGTGACCTTTTTTTCCCTCTAACATATGACCTTAAGGCTCTGTATGCAGCTTTCAGTCTCTCTTCTTTTCTATGTTGAAAAGGAAGTCTTAGAAATATATAGTCATGAATATATTTATGGAGATATTTATTCATTTTGCTCACTGATGCATGTCTAGTCTAGAGCTGGAAGAGTACCTGGTATATAACAAGCAATAAATATTTATTGCATAGAAAATGAATAGAATACATTACTAGAAAATCCCCATATGTTTGAAACTTAGAAAGCACACTTGTAAATAATAGTTTAAAAAGAAATCATATTTTAGTAAGAAAATATTTTTAAATACTGTACATGAAAACTTGTGATATTTAACTAAAATAGTACATAGAAGGAAATATACAGCCATAAACATATTATTTATATATAGATAATGGTATTATTTTAAAAGATACATTAGACCTCCCAAATGATGGTAGATTTTTGCATTTCTTTCTTTAATTCTGAATATGTATGTATATATATATATATATATATATATATATATATATATATATACTGGTGGCTTCCTAATTAATAAAAATGCATGCATTATAAACCAAACCCCTCTGTCATTGGTA